ATTGCGCTGAGCTAGACTGAAGGACAACATGATTCAACTTACTGTAATCAACAGGCACACAGGCAAATAGATGTCCCTTATTCTCCGCGCTATGACGCGTAATACCTGCGTTACTGAATTGGGCATAATGATGTTCGCTGATCCATGTCTGAGAAAGAATATTTGCAAAGCACTCCAAGGCGTCACCATTAAAGTGGACATTAGTAAAGGCCAGATCCATTAGAATCATTTTGGAAAGACGGCATGAGAAGACAGCTTGAGAGTACGTGCTGATCCTGTTACTGAATCGAAATTTGATTCCCGCACACTCCCTTAAAGAATGCTCTGAAGTCAGATAACACATGAAGATTAAAAGACGAATGATTTGATGAAAAAATTGATCTCAGTATCTAAATCAACAGCTTCATCCACAGGAAGCTAGGAGGGACAAATTTGAAAACAATTACACTGCGGGAAGTACAAAGTTTGAATGATGTTCTAAAGGCGTATGAGTGGGGGTGCGATGTGCGTGTGTGTGTGTGTGTGTGTGTGTATGTGTGTAGGTATGTGCGCATGTGTGTATGTGTGTGTGTGTGTGTGTGTGTGTATGTGTGTGTGTGTGTGTGTGTGTGTGTGTGTGTGTGTGTATGAGTGTGTGTGTGTGTATATGTGTATGTGTGTGTGTATGTCTGTGTGTGTGTGTGCCAGCTAGTTCGGTTGGTGGGTGCACTTGTGCCAGATAGTGTTGGGCCTGTTGCCAACGGGCTCGGCTGCTTGAAGGTGTATTGTTGTACCTACCACCTTTGTTGGTTTCAGGGTTCATATACTTTCTGTTTGAAGTATACATACCTGTTAACCATGGACTGCTTCTGGCTAGATTAACTCTTGTGTAATCAATGGTGCTAGTGAAGCTTATATCAGATCCACTCTGATTTAGCCACCGACACTAGTACCAAGTATTACCTTCACTGGGGGCAGGGGTACCTGCAGTTGGATCCCGGGACGGATACCCTGATGCCGTCAATCCTTTTCTGCACCTTGTCCTCACCCACTTACTGAGGTGTGGTGAGCCCATAAGTGGGATCATTTCAAGTCCACCCTAGTTTGGGGATTTCAGGGGGTGTCGGCCGTTGGGTGGTTCAATGGCCAATTGAGTCATCTTTCCAAGATTCCTTTTGAGTCTCTCTCCCCTCTCCCGGGGAGACCCACGTGACCAGTTTTGGCAGTTTTGGCAGTGAGCAAGTACAAGTGTGTGTGTGTGTGTATATGTGTATGTGTGTGTCTGTGTGTGTGTGTGTGTGTGTGTGTGTGTGTGTGTGAGAGTTTGTGTGTGTATTAGGGGTGAAACGGTTCCATGTTTTTCATGTTCGGGTACCCTAATGCTGGCATAGTTTCCCATGGTTCGGGTATCGGTTCCATGCACTCGTTTCTGCAGACCGACAAAATGCGTTCGTGACAATTATTTTTTAGAAAACATTTTTTACGGGCAAGAACGAGACATCGGAGAGTCCATGGGAGAAGAAGATGACCAGGAGAACCCTTTGGAAGAGCGGTGATCGTAATGAAATCTTGAGTAGACTTGATGTGCACATGTATTGGAACGAGAACGAGATTTTTCGAGTTTCGGTTCGAAATTTGACGGAACGGGTACCTGATTTTTTTCAGCTGGCGGTTCCAAAACCGGTTCCTTACCCGAACCGTTTCATCCCTAGTGTGTATACATATATGTATGTGTACCGCCACTGGTGTGACATCATCGACGTGGTGGCATGACATCATTGATGTGGTGGTGTGACATCATCGCAGGGGCCTTGAGTGCACACAAGCTGCATTTTCCGGTGAAGTAAAGCCACTAATACATGCCATGCGAGGGAAAGAACAAGCACACGTCACATAACTCACCTTCTTCAATGCTGACAACGTTGCAGGTATAATTGTTCGCTCCATTTTCAAGGCAAGCTTCGTGATGGCTGCACACAAAGCCGAGAGTCTGGCATTGATCCACGCCCTTCTTGTACTCTACACCGTGCACCAGAAATATGCACAAAGAGGGGCAGTACGAATTCAGATACAGTGCTACCTTTATAATCCGATACCATTTGCGCTACGGAAGTTCTGCTGGATTAGGGAGGGTGCTGGATTAGAAAATCTGATTTATTGCTGAAATGTGCATGAAAGGGACATTTTGGTTGCTGACAATAACACTGGTTCATAGAAAGGGTGGTGGTTCATAAAGTGCTGGACTAGAGAGGAGTGACAGTACAAAGCTAGCAGCGAGTGGCGCAGACAACACCTGGCCGACGGGGCAACCTAGTTCCGCTTTGTTGTCAACCTGATACGGGAATCAGCCAACAGGAGTCAAAATGATGGGCCAATGCCACCCCACCCTAGTAGTATGTGATGGGCGGGTTCTGGAGCATTTTGACCTTTGAACTTTGGGTCAAATAAGGCAGACTGTGTCCGAAACCCCCAGGTCAAAGGTCAAAAATGCTCCAGAACCCGCCCGTCACATACTACTCACCCTCTCTGCTTTTCCTGTCTTCAAGTTTACCTTCCTTTCCGTTCTCTTTTCACTTTTTACCTTCGTCCGTCCCTCGCAAATAGCATAAAATTTAATAAAGATTAAAAAAACAGTACTCTGTACCCTCGAGGCAACAAACTGGATTAGTACAACCCATCCACTGTTCTGAATCCCTTCCCAAAACAGACCTTTCATTCCAACAAGCGTGTGGACAGCAACCTAGTCTAGCAACGCAGCGGTTCACATCTGTATGAGCAGGTACCGGTGCGTCTAGTATTAAAGCCCGTCTCGTATAGAAGCCTGTCTTGAATAGAAGCCTGATTTTCAAGATACACTGTCAGCACATAAACCTGGTTTCAGTTTCGACGTACATAGACATATTTCTATACCTGGTTTGAATAGAAGCCTGATGTGAACAGAAGCCTAGCCCTGACACTACAGGAAAAAAAGCCCGGCTTTCATATGCGACATTACAGTACAGTCGTCCCTCTCTAATCCGGCACCTTTTGCAGCAGCATTTTCTGCTGGGTAAACATGGGTGCTGGATTATCAAATCCTGCCCTCCAACCCGGCCCACATGTTAACATACATGTTTTGTCGCACGTCAAAAAGTAGGGATTTTCTGTGTCAATCCAAGTACTTAAAATAGTCTTTGTGGAATGCATGTCTTTAACATACACTTGCCGGGAATATTCTATGCACTGGCATAGGATACTCCCAGGTGTATGTTACATGTGTTGTGTATGTTACAATGGTCCCTGACAGTATGCGATGTACAACTGCTGGATTAGAAAATCGAATTATGTACAGTTTGAGTGATTTGTTGCAGAAAATCGCTGCTGGGGGCGGAATTCAAGTGCCGGATTAAAGCGTAGAAAATGAACTGAAAAGATCCGTTTTGCCAGATAGTGTGCTGGTTTGCAAGGGTGCTGAATAAACAAGTGCCGGATTAGAGAGGGACGACAGTATCATAGTTTTTATAACACTTTTTTCATACTGCTATTATTGTTTTAACTTGTAATTTTAGGCGCATTGAGGTTTCGGTGTCAGACGCTTGCTAGGTTTTCAGGTGCAAAGTAGAACTAGGTGACAAGCTTTCCGTGCACATGTAGTGCGTATTCTAGGGCCATTTAGGTGTTATTTAAATTAGGTGCCCGGTTTTTCTGCCGAAATTCCCGAAATTCAAGTTCTACCAAAAATAGCGTGCTACGAGGGGATTCAAAAAGGGTTCAAGCCTTTGCCACAAAGTCACACAATATGCCTTGAATTATGATGTTATTTTCCATTTTCCACTTCTTCCGCTTTAGGAGCTGCATCTGCGCCTTGAGCCTTGAAGGGTGGTGGCGTTCCTACGGATGCGGAAAACCCGGCTTCCAGCCGAGCCTCACGCAAACCGTGACATTTTTTCTTTTCTTTTTTTCCCCACATAATCACCACTCAACTGTACACATCATTTTTTTGCGAGAACTGTGGCAATACGCCCAGTGAGAAGGCAGATGTTGCTTGTGCTTCTGGCGAAGTAAAATGAAGCTAAACATCAACACAGCAGTTCCCAGCCAATGGAAGCAGTTGACTGTACACCCTGGGTATTGAGAGTTCAGACAGTGAACACACAGTCACACAGTCATGATGAAAGCCAACACAAAGAGGGAACAGAATACTTCCAAGTGAGCCCTGGTCCCATCCGATATGGCCAACCGGTTGAAAAAAGAAACTTAATGATGATCTAAACCCTACTCAGAAGTTGTTATGTTCGCCTCTAGCTCTGCGTGTCCGACTCACACTCTCAAACAACTCAAGGAATCCTGGAACAAACAACTGACTTCTTCATGAAACTCAAACGAATATTATGAGCTCACGGGCAGGGTTGCCCTGACCCGTGGCAAAGCGGTTTCCATGACTTCACGTAAACGTACACATCAGAAGTAAGCAAATACACAGAATCTTACCCACACAGCCCTTGCCATAAGGAAAGGAGCCATCTTTGCACATACACACATCGCTATTTTTTTGTGAGTCATAGTCGTATTTAACCCATTTGCGCGACGTGATCTTTTCAGGACAGGTGTCAAACCCTGGAGGAAAGGCCACGAGACATGAACACAAATCAGAACAAGCTTGAGGTGCAACGGGACAAAGGCTTGCTTTATTACTATAGACTCAGATGGAGTGCCAAGGATAAATTATAGAAAAGAAAAGGACCAATGAACTACAAGTGATTGTCAAGTAACTGGTGGTGTTAGTGGACATTTATAGCATAACTTGTAGTTCCTTGGTTCTTTTCTTATCTATACACTTATAATTAATTGTAATAATCACAATCTGCGAAAAAATAATCAATCATTATTTTGGTCGGTCAGTGTCGTGTTGTGTGTTATCGCATGAGCTGATTGTTTAGTATCTGGTGGTGTTAGTGGACAGTATAGCATAACTTGTAGTTCCTTGGTCTTTCTCTTTTGTATAAATTAAACCTTGGCTCTCCATCTGAGGCCATGACTGTAGTGTTTGGTCAGTTAATTGAACATTTAGGTATGATACAGATGCACAGAAGCACATGCCGAAAATTTTTGAAATTAGAGAAACTTGTAGTTCGAAGTTTGAAGAAGGGCTGAGGCTTCCTGCAGCTTCATCTGTGAAAAGAATTCGGGTGGACACGCCCATTCCCATAGCGCTGCATATCACATCCGAACCAGTTCCGTTATTTTACAACGTTTCGGCACTTGGCCATCGTCAGGTAATAACAATGAATACCGTGGAAGCCACACAAGAGCAGTACAAACGCAGAGTGTAGCGCCAAAAAAGATGCGAATTATGTCACCTAGTATGACAGAGAGAGAGAAGAGGCGCAACTAGCACATCACGGAGGAGAAGCAGCAGAAGGTAGCGCGCATTGTGCTCTGTGAATGGCGTTACGCAGAGTGTAGCGCCAAAAAATAAAATGATGCGAGTTATGTCACCTCTATACAGAGGGGGGGGGGGGGGAGAGAAGGTGCAACTGTGCACATCACGGAGAAGAAGAGCGCGCCGTTGTGCTCTACGAAGTGAGGGTACATGCCAAATAATTATGGTGTTAATTCTAGCACAGGATCTAGGAGGGGAGCACGGAGCCCCATGAGTCAATGCACTATGAGGTTAAAACTTCCATGCCAAACTGTTACCACCAGGGACGTGACGAGGCATCAGGAATAGAATGGTTTTGAGTGACCCGCCTCATATTATAATTATTCAGTGATATTGAAGTAGCAGCAGGGGAAGCTGAGAAAATTCACAACAAATCCCATCCGGTGCTTATGTTCACATGGGGCTAGCCTAGCCTGAGGCGCACATTGTGTCGCTCCGCCCTCGTTCCTCCTCTATGTGTCAAGGCTGCAAATCCGCTACAACCGAAAAAGAGAGGTCACCCAAAGGGGCCGTGTATCTCGTTTATATCCGGGGGACAGGATGTATGTATGCAGAAGAATGTTGTATATCAGCTGAAGTGCAAAGAATGTCCGGAACAATATGTTGGTGAGACTGGCCGCTTTCTGGAAACTCGCCTGGAAGAACATAATGGTGAGGCAAGACGCCAGGAACTCGACAAGCCATGGGGCCAACATTTTCGCACCACTCACCCTGGATGTAAGCTTAACTATGGGCAAAGTGCATTCTCTGCAGTTGAAGTAATAGGAAGAGAGCCTGATCGAGCCCGTCGCAAACTGCGCGAGGCGATTGAGATTCGTGATGCCAAGCCCCATGTGAACATAAGCACCGGATGGGATTTGTTGTGAATTTTCTCAGCTTCCCCTGCTGCTACTTCAATATCACTTAATAATTATAATATGAGGCGGGTCACTCAAAACCATTCTATTCCTGATGCCTCGTCGCGTCCCTGGTGGTAACAGTTTGGCATGGAAGTTTTAACCTCATAGTGCATTGACTCATGGGGCTCCGTGCTCCCCTCCTAGATCCTGTGCTAGAATTAACACCATAATTATTTGGCATGTACCCTCACTTTGTAGAGCACAACAGCGCGCTCTTCTTCTCCATGATGTGCACAGTTGCACCTTCTCTCCCCCCCCCCCCCTCTGTATAGAGGTGACATAACTCGCATCATTTTATTTTTTGGCGCTACACTCTGCGTAACGCCATTCACAGAGCACAATGCGCGTTACCTTCTGCTGCTTCTCCTCCGTGATGTGCTAGTTGCGCCTTTTTTCTCTCTCTGTCATACTAGGTGACATAATTCGCATCTTTTTTGGCGCTACACTCTGCGTATATACTGCTCTTGTGTGGCTTCCATGGTATTCATTGTTATTACCTGACGATGGCCAAGTGCCGAAACGTTGTAAAATAACGGAACTGGTTCGGATGTGATTTGTAGTTCGAAACTCGGGTATTGAGCCAATAATAAATGTAGAAAAGAAAAAGGACATATGGATACGGGTTAAGGCCATGGTAAAAAATAAAGTTGACTCTCAGGTCATGAGCCTGTGAAAATCGGTGCGAGCGAGCGATTTTTTATTTTATTTCCCACAATTTTTTTATTTCCAAAGATAGGGTCACACATATGTACGTCACATGTTCATATAATTATTTTTTATTCAGGCCAGGGAGTAGTAAAATACCGGTATTTTACTACTCCCTGATTCATGCCTTTCGCATTGACCAATTTCATGCGCGCATATGCATGCATAGAAATAAAAAAATCGTCGGTGCGCCACCAAAAATCGGTGCGCGCGTACTTGAGAATCAAAGATAATTTTTACCATGGCCTAAGAGTAACTCTCCACCACTATAACTATATAGTATATACAGTCAGAAAGTGCAACAACTAGGCACAAAACTGACAGAGTAGTGAGACATTCGACGTCCTGACACCTAGCTTCAACACATCTCCGTAGCGCTAACCGACAGGCTTCCAACTCGGAAAGTTCAAGTTTATGGAGAGACCAAAGAAGGGAAGGTACGCGCAACGAAAATGAGCACAAGCTACAGTCCCAACGGAACGAAGAATGGCGATTGTTACTGGACGATGACGAGACCAGTAGGATACTTGACAAAACTGTCAACTACAATTCGAAGCAGCAAAGCAGCACACCACCCAACTTGGGTGGCTCAGAAATATCAAAGATAAGTGCAGAAGCAGATCATCTGGTAAAAGGAGAGCGAGCGCTCTCGCGCGCCTTCGCTCTCCATATTTTCTTTTAGGGCGCACTTTTCGTCGCGCGCCTTGAGAATTCGAGCACATCCGCATCACTATGAAGTTCTGAAAACACTCAAATATTTCGTAACTCGGCTTTCCCTGAACGGAATCGAGTAGTCGAAAGATCTATTCGCATTAGAAAGTTCTCAGCTGTCGGCTCCAACAAATCGAAAGTCGATCCGAGGTCCAATAGTGTAGCATGGCTACTTTATGACACGTAATTTGTATACGCATAAATAGTACACCGTAGGAATGCATGGATAGGCTGTGCGCATACTCGCACTGCCTTGTCTTCTTCTTCTCCTTGTGTGAGACAATGAACGAATATTGATAACAACTTACGTAACAACAAGTATGTGTTTTGAGTGCTGAGACTGAGAGTATACGAGTTACAATGGTGGCAGCGGTGGGATTCGAACCCACGCCTCTGGAGAGACTGGACGGCACTCGCAAGGTATTATACGTACCGTTGCAAATTTTCACTTCCGCACACATGATTTTGACATGAAGGATTTCACCCTGTTGCGTGACAGTCCGGGCATGCATAGACCTGTGTACGTGTGACGCCAGGTACAGGTCTCTAGCCGTCAGCTACAGAAGTTCAGAACAAAGCCTCAAAGGAGCGCTCTACGATGAATACTCCAAAAATACCATAGATTTTAGCGAATTGTCTCAATTTCCGCGTGTCATTGTCCCTGATGAAGGGAAACTAAAGTTGTGGTCCGAACAGCTTTCATTTGTAGTGCGTACGGCGATTTTCCAGAACAAATTTGGCAGCTATTGGGTATTGAATCCGATTGGGGTATGGCAAGATGTTGAAAAAACCCGTATTGTGCTCGCCTTGGATAGATGAGGCGAGCGACTTTTTTTTTGGGGGGGGGGTGGAGGGTGATGGGGACCGCTCTCCGACCACTCTCCTTGAGAGGATAGCGAGAGTGATTGTTCACTCTCCTGGATTTTTCTTACACGAAGGTCTGAGAAGGGGGAAGCTTTGCGAAAACGAATTGTACAAGCCGAAAGCCAAACTTCTACAGTACTCCTCATTAGGCTTGTCCACAAAATGTTTTCAATTATTTTTGAATTTTGGTTGGATTTTCGCACTTTGAGTTTTTTTGGAATTTTGGCCCCATCAGGATTGAATTTTGGCCGTTTTTGGAGAACGACAGTGATGTCACATCAGGAGAGTACATGTGCTGCTCAATATATTACCAAGTTTGACATGTGAAAACAGTACTTTCAAATACAGTTGAACATCGATTATCCGACCACCTCTGGGCAGACAACTGTCAGGCGGTGTTCAGATAAGGCAAATGTTCCGGATAAGAAAAAACTGTCACTCACACACTTTCAGTGGTTATTACTAGCCGCACGACCTTTTTACTTCAAAATTTTCGTATTTTTTGAATGGCTCACTACATGCACAGTGCGTACTCTACGGCACGTGCGCCCAAAAAAACTGTTACGGATAATCGAATTGTCGGATAGTCGATGTGCGGATAATCGATGTTCAACTGTACACACACCTTTGACCTTTGCCCTTTTGACACCCATCCCCGAATTTGGAGGCACACAGACACACATGATAAGCAGTTTGTGTTTTTTTTTGTTTTTTTTCGAACTATTGGGTACGAGTACTGTAAAAACCATGGCAACGGATCGAATTTGTTCTGCATTTTGGGGGATTTTTTGAATTTTCTTAAAACATTTTGACCGTTTTTTTCGCTTTTTGAATTTTAATTCTGGACAAAATAATTCGCATGATGTGGCCACCCTTACTCCTCATGCATGACATTCTGCATGACGTCATGCATGGCATCATGCATGACATCATGCATGACATTATGATAGACTATTTGACTATTATGGACTAGTTGACTACAAAACAACCATAACCGTGAACCTTCCGAGTTGGAAGGCTGTCGGCTGTCCAGGTACCTAAATTTAGATAACGACACACACACACACATACACACACACATACTACTACTACTACTACTACTACTACTACTACTATGTACAGCTACCCTATCGGGCCACGCCGCTCCCAGAAGCGGGAGACAACGACAAGAAGAGAGAAGAGAAGAGAGAGAAATCGCAAAGACACATACACACACACACACACACACATGCACACACACACACACATACACATACACACACACACACATACACACACACACATGCACACACACATGCACAAACATGCACACACATACACACGCACACACACACGCACATGCACACACACACACATACACACGTACACACACACACACACACTTACACACACACACACAGACACGCACAAATGAAACTTACATTGGGGAACGCACGGCATTTCTGGAACAGGGTTCCATCTTCCATCGGCTTGACATACTGTAGTGGCAACTGGTATGTATCCCTCATTGCAAATTGGAGTTACAAGGATAGGGTTAGACAGCTGCTTTCCAGAGAGTGTCCTAGGGAAGTATCCATTGTCAATTGCCTGCTTCTGGCACTGTACCTTATCGCCTGGCAAAAGAAAACAGTCACAGATAAATGGGTATGCAACACACATCAGGCCAAACCGGAAAAAGTCGGTTCTGAACACCTTCTTCTTCTTTTGCATGTACATTTCACATTCACATTTCTCTCCAACGTTCGTTACTTTTGTAATAAAGCATGGTTATCGCACAGTTAGTCCTCTTGATTGCGATAAAAAAAGTCTTTCGTTCCAGCTGACCCGATCGGCCGTGTTTTTCAGCACCGACTGAAACGCTTTCCACGTGCAGACGGTATTAACTAGCATTAACACGTGATCTTAAGAGAACGTTCTTTGGGCAAAGTACAGCGGCATTGACACTCACATTGTGTTTGAAGAGGCTAGCATCACGATTGCGAACGCCTACAATATCATGTTCTACATTTTTCAGCTGGTTGGTCCTGGTCAGGGTATGTTCTTGACGCTACCACTATGCATACTGTGGAGCAGGAAATTTTCGGACGGAATTTATTTTCGCACGATTTCGTACACGGGCCTCTTTTGCACTAAAATTAATTCCGTTCTGAAATTTGTCCCTGTGAAGTTATGTACACTATGCATGCGAACACGTGCATTTAGCATGCAGCACTGTACGAAAATAAAATCCGTGCGAAAGGTCGAAAATTGGCTTTGTCCGAAAATATTTCCGTCCGAAAATTTCCTGCTATACAGTACATTACATCTGGAAACAAAAAAGGAAACCTGACCTATCGACCGCTGACATTTTGGCCATGTTAACTTACCCGAAACGAAGACATTGTTCAGTTCGGCCTCACACGGTACGTTTGCCACTCGAAGGTCTTCTATAATATGGGGTTAGTGTGTGCATAATTTACCCATACATGAGCAAATTGCCATTTATGGGTAAATGGGTAAATTTCAGTTCTGAAATGGTTTAGTCAGGGTTTGATGGTGAAATTTTTCCTGCTGGTGCCCCTAGACCTGTGGAGTGCACTGAAAAATTCGCCGTTTTAGAATTAAAGAGTAGTGTTGTAACGATCTCACCGGGTACTCGTTAGCTCGCTCGCCAGAAACACGGCTATTTTGTGCAGCCAGCTCGTTTGCACTAACGAGCACCGTACACCGTGCTCCGTACACATGGCAGTACATATCGACCGGGGAGTCGTAAATATTTTATGACTCCCTGGTCGATCGAGAGTCCAGTCCCGCCAAAGTGAAAATCACTCGCAGTTACAGTGACTGTATGCGTGAATGACACTGAGATGTTTCAGTTGTCCCTGCAGCTTTGGTGGACTCCACTGATGTCTTGTTCCCTATCTGCTGACCTGTCGCAGGACATGCTTACGCCCTCTCTCCATTCGAGTAAAAATTACGCTTGGTCGTTTGGAAGTTTTCTCCCGCAATGCAGCGAAGAACAGGGCTACTTGCATCTTTGCGAAACGGTCTATTCTTACAAAGGCTACTCAACGACGGCGCTGTAAAGACATCCCCGGCACCAAACAGCAGTCCGACGTGAAGCAGCAGCAACCTCAAATGCCGGCGGTGATAATTTGAACCTGCTGAATTGAAAAAAATCGAACTTATGAAAAATATTTGAAAAAATCATATTTGCTACATCGATGAAACTCGTTAGCTCGCTCGATAGCTTGCTCGTTAGTGGAACTGTTCACCCGTTTCTTATAGATACGCTCGTTCCAACACTATAATAAAGAACACCTCATCGGTGGCTCTCGAAATGGTTGCTATTAAAACAGAGAGGGTGGGTTTAACCTTTTGAGCACGCGTGACGTTCTGACACGTCATGACCACTGCCACTGTGACACGCGTGACGTTCTAGAACGTCACGAGTCAGTACGGAACTACATCGATTCCGCGTTTCTTCCGTGACGTGGCGTCGAGCTGTACCGCTGCACAGAGGACTCCTAGGATGTACGAATACAATAAAAAAATGCGAGTCGCTCCGTAAGTTTGAACTGGAGTTACATGCGCGTGCATACATTTCAAAATACCAATTTCGCGTAAAACTACCTTTCTGAAAACGGTCATAGCTTTTGTAATTTTTGTTGCATTTCTAAAACAAAAACAGTTCTGTGTTCAGGATACATGAAAGAATCATTTGAAATCAAGTTTGCTCACATAGAGTGAATTAAATTTTTTACTGCGTGGCAGAGGTTTTCAATGGGCCCGGGCTCAAAAGGCTAATGGGACGTATGCATCCATTTCCCGCCATCAGGTTTTGCAAGTCCACTACAACCGTACACACTGTGATACCAGCTCTGCATAAAAGGTCATGAACTTTGTGAGGTCACATACTTAAATGTACTATAGCGGGTTGTACCTGCCAAGTATGGGGTAACTTGCCCCGCAAAAAGGTGACGGCCATCTTAGGGCATGTTTGATTGGTAAGGATCGGGATCAGGATCCAGATCTCAGATCCATTGGATCCTTCAGACTCAACTGAACACTTTATTTTGGACCTTGACTGTTGCCATGTTGACAATGGCACTCGCAAATCACCCAAAAGGGTGAACGTCGTATACGCGTACTCATCGCCTCCGTCGTACAAAAAGTCAACAAGCTCTATCTCCATCCACGTGTGCGTATCACAATGTGTACAAAAATGATTTTAAACACACGGCGAGGAGACAATAATTTGATAACCGCAATCAATAAAACTAGCTGAACCGACATTTGTGTACTTTATTCATGCAATGTAAAAACGGTGGAGACGATGTGCAATAAAACGATGAAAATAGATTTTCTATAATAGTTCAATTTTTGTTTCAGTGTCCTTTAGTACAACGACGATTCCTGATGAGTGTTGTACGAAAACTTGTTTGAATCCATATTTTTTCCCTACACCACTTCTTCATATTTTCATCGTTTTATTGCACATCGTCTCCACCGTTTTTACATTGCATGAATAAAGTACACAAATGTCGGTTCAGCTAGTTTTATTGATTGCGGTTATCACAATGATTTTTACCCGCCATATACGCACAAAGGTCACATTTGGATCCGGTCAACCCTGCTCCCCGAGGTGGGTTGACTGGATCCAAATCCGAAGGATCCGGATCCAGATTCGACCAATCGAAAGGGTGCAAATCCAGTGGATTCGGTGGATCGGGATCCCGATCCTATCAAACGAACATGCCCTTAGATGCATACATCCCACTAAGAAAACACTCAGAGAGACGTCGCATGGTTAGTTCACCCCTCAACAAATCATAAGGAACAAGATGCAGAGGCTGAGCACTTCGTACCCCATCACCACTCCTATGTTCATAGGCCCTTCAATGTCCTCTGTATCATCATAGTCCTTTTGATTTGTTGGCTTGTGGAATTTGTAAAAAAAGTAAAAGAGTGGTAAAAAGTCAATACTTACCCCATGGCAAGGGTGGTTCGGGCCAGTGAGGCACGGTTTTTCCGGCCGTCAGGGTTGCCAGTGACAAGCAGATGATGGGCCACAAAGCCATGCTTATCTGCAGTGAACACACGAACAATGCAAGACGAAGGGAACGTTCCCCACGGTCGGAGTAGCCCTGCCATCTAGCCCCTGCTCTCCCCCGATCCCACCCCGGACACGTGACTCGAAGCTAGAGTTGCCTCAAGATCTAAGTCAGCAGTGCACACGACATTTCCGTCTGGCGTCCTGTGTGACTGACAGCGGGGGCGACAACACCAGCTCCACTCGAGCCCAACACTGAAACCATTCGATTAAAATTCACGTACTGTGCAACGAGCGAAACTTCTCCAAGCAGGTTGTGTTTCTCAACACAATTGTAAACCGGTGTGAACGCAGATGTGCAAACTAGACACCACTTTACTGTACATGTACAATGCTAAAACCTCTTACCGAGATTGGTCGGCAGACCTTCTTCTAGCTGTGCTGGTCAAAAACTGAGGGAGCTTTCCCCTCTGGAAGGAGATGTTTGCTTCCGGAGCTGTGCGTACAGAGAAGGGGGCGCTGCAGAGGGACGTTGCGCAGCCCCACGCGATGCCACTGCGACCTTGTCAAGAACGGGAGCGCTTTCGGCCCTGCACTGGGAGTTCAGCGTTCTGGGGGCGGTACGCACACGGAGGAGGACGCCGCAAAGGGACGTCGCCGAGCCCTTCAACGACGCTGTTACACAACTATCGCTTGGACTGGACTTTATGCAGACCTGCACTCCCAAGCCGGTACCCTTTTAGTCAAAATCAGAAAACCAATAACTGACGTAGCTGGCAAACAGGTCAATGGTCGCTGGCAGAGTACGCGCTTTACTTCAAACACTACAGAATAAAGTACACATGGCAAAGCAGTTGACGACAGTGTACAGTCTGAGACTTTATTACAAAGCACGAAGAAGTGTAAAAACAACAAATAGTTGAGAACCCGTACATGGGCCTGCTCGTGTACTCTTGCTCTAAGTCCGAGGGTAAGCATTATTTGGGGGCCAGTGGATATTATGTGCAGTGTTGGAAGTCCATTTAGTTGACGGCCCTTTCGAGATCTGCTGCGTACCTCGGCCAGCATGCATTGCTTGTGAACACGGCGCCGAAATCGCCTCCTCTATAATATGAACGGTACACAGTGCACCGGATATAGACGACAAAATCTCTGATTATGTACTGTACATTGTACAAATTTTCGTTTGGAATGAGCTTTCGCTATAATATTAATAATGTATTCGCTAGGGGGCACGAAATCCCAAAACTAATAATTATTACCCGTATAAAAACCGCTCTGTGAGCGGTTCTGAAAAAACCTCTACTGGTGCAGCCCCGTCGTAAAAGTAAGAAATTATAACTGGCGCATTGTCCTCCCAAATGTGAGCTGATCCACCTAAATCGCGATTGACGGGACCCGAACGCACCAGTAGTACGAGGTTCCTACCTGTGGATGCAGCTGGGGACGCTGGTCCGGACCATAGCCAAAGCCCGGGCAAAGGTGGGCTTCGGGATACTGTAAAAGTGTTGTATGGTAACTTGATCAGCGACGGCGCCGGCCCATTGCTGTGATCCTGTGCCCTCCCGACCTCGTGCTACTGGTGCGTTCGGGTCCCGTCAATCGCGATTTAGGTGGATCAGCTCACATTTGGGAGGACAATGCGCCAGTTCTAATTTCTCACTTTTACGACGGGGCTGCACCAGTAGAGGTTTTTCAGAACCGCTCACAGAGCGGTTTTTATACGGGTAATTTCAGTTCTTTTTCTGTTCCCTCCCCCACCCCGGCCCAGCTCCGAACATAAACATGGTGAGCACGCGCGCGATGCACTGTATGTAGCCATGCGACTGCAATAGCACACTGATACATTCCAGCCCTCCCCACCTCGCTACCCCGCACACAGACACATTGTGACAAACACGCAAATGCACATGGCCAGCGCGCGCACACACACACACACACACACACACACACACACACACACACACACACACACACACACACACACACACACACACACACACACACACACACACACACACACACACACACACACGACCCAAACAGGAAATTCTCGATGAACATTGTATAATGCCATGCAAAGCAGTGGCCACCATACTTCAGGAAGTCAGTTGTGAAACAAAAATAATTCAGCTACAATGCGTAGGTAAGCTGGCGGCCAAAGCACAACATTGCAAACCGTGATGACATTTGCCTAAGGATTGCAGTTTGCAGACCACACCATGGAAGCAGTGAATACAGAATGATTGTAATATCATACACAGACAAGCAAAGAAGTGGCCACCATACACCAGAAACTTGCAGAAAGTCACATATCCAACAGATAGAGAAATGAACAGCCTCTGGTACAGCCCACACAAAACCAAGCTGACCTGATACTTGTCCGAAGATCGTAAGTGGCAGATCCTTTTCAACGATAGCATGCAGGTGTACGTTACACGCATGGACAAAATCTGACCGTGTCACTGACTCACCGGAATATACATTGTCATCACATGCATACTCCACAAGTTACACACATGCACAGTAGAAGCACAATGAAAGCAATGGAAAAATATGAAGGGATTGCTGAAGCTTCTTCACACTTCAAGTTCAGACTTCGATGTGGTCGTCACGGGATGATATACCTGCAAGATACAAGTGACGCAGAAAGAAAGCATAAGGTCGTGAGGTAGGCTATGAGACACCACAAATGGGCCACCTACATCTATGTTCAGGGCTGGTGTACACACACACCCACGCAGAATTATCATAATCGAGAATTTCCCAAACTGAGAAGTGCAATGAAATCCACTTGCATGCACAGGAGCAATTTTTGCAGTATGTTTCTGAACATTCAAGCGATGCCAACGCGAATCCCGCGAATTATTATTTATTTTTTATGCGCAGCTCGGGAATACACCTGTTGGCAATGGGTTACATTCCCATTGGAATTTCCATTCACGTGGGATTCACAGAAGCAATTTGGCAGTGTGCTGCGCAATGCGACACGACCTGCGATTCTGCGTGCGATGCAAACTCGCACAAAATACCATTCACAGAATCATGACAAGACGGCAGCGATGCAACAGCGCCTTGCTGACGCGCCTCAAGTCAAAGCTCAATGAGAATGCGTTTGTCGGTTACAACTGGTACAGATGTACAAGCAATTTCTGAAAATGCTCCTGTGAATCCTGCTTTAAGCAGTGCAGGAATGTCCCTCCTCCGCTCTCCCCCCCCCCCCTCCCCTCCACACCCTCAGGGAACTTGGCAAGGAAGGGTGGTCTTCGCGGTTCCCAACATCTATTTGCAGTTTCTCGTCTCCATGATGTCTTTTCAATGGGGATTTGTACGTACTATAAAAGCAAGCCTAAAATGAACAGCACAATTGCTGTTCCCCCACTGGTGAGGATGCGTTCCACAGCTATCCTGACAAGATATTCCGGGAAGCGGTGCTGAGTGCAATGCATTGTGAAGCTGAAAAAGCTGACCAAGGGCATCTAACGTCTAGTAGGGTAAAGGAAGTGCTTCTTTGCCCACGAACTACCATCCAATTTCACTGCTCCATCCCATCAGCCGCCTCTTCGAATCCCGCATAGCCCATCAGCTGAACAGCTTTCTTTACCGTAATTGCATAATTTCGCCCAGTCAATTTGCTTACGTTCCACAACGATCAGCTACGGATCAACTCATTCTTTTGACCCATCAGATTGCCCGTCTCTCTGATAGAGGCCAGAGATTTGACTGTGCATTTCTCGACTTCCAGAAAGCGTTTGATAAAGTACATCATCCTACGCTCCTGCGCCACATGAATGCATTCATGGCACCAGAGGCACACGCCTGGTTTGGGTCCTACTTGCTTGACCGTAGTCTAAATGTGAAGCTGGATGGAACTCACTCTTCTCAATATATGCTAAACTGTGGTGTTCCCCAGGGTTCGTACCTTGCCCCTCCGCTTTTTTCTTTTGTATATCAATTCCCTGCCTGACATAGTAAACCACACCTCACCCTTTCTCTTTGCTGATGATGTCACTCTTCTAAATGCTCATAATGTATCCCTCTCCTTAGATGAGAACATGTCCCACCTCCAGCAGGATCTGGCCAGCTGCCAGAATTGGGCTCAGAATATCCATGGGAAATTTTCTCCAGAAAAAACTTTCATCTTTTCGAATCATGACATTCCTGACTCCTCCTCTGTTTTAATGGACGGCGTTCCTATTGCCTTTGGACGTTCTGCTAAGCATCTCGGCGTACAGCTCAGTGATGGTTTGAAGTTCCATGACCACTTCCACACCATCTTCAGGAAGTTTCAGCAATGCGTCAACCTGTTATGTTTCATGGGCAGACATTTACCATCGTCCCATATTCTCCTCTTGTATACTTAGTCTTATGTGCGTCCGGCAATTGAATATGCCATTCCTGTCTGGTCATTTAGGATCACATCCGCTCAGTTAGAGTCCCTTGATGTACTCCAGGCTAAGGTTTGCCGGCGACTCCTGAAGTCTGCAAAAATAACCTTTGATATCTATGAATCAAATCCAATTTGAATAGATTGTGTCACTTAGAATCTCTGCAATTTCGCCGTATCTTTATTTCTCTTGTGGTTTTATTTAAGTACATCAATTTTCACCCAGAATATCTCTCTCGCTTTGCGATAACCATATCACGTAGTGCCCGTAGGCCCAAAAAGCTCATTTTTAACTCACATGGTCGTATTTTTTCATCCCTTTTCCTACAGAAAACTGGTTCTCTTTGGAATTGTCTTCCACCCCGATTGACAACTTTAGATTCCCCATCTGAATTCAAGCGTCATTTACGTATTCACATTGCTAAGTATCAGTTCGACTGCACTGGTGCACCTTTGATGTGCAATCATTGATATACATGCTTGTTCTTTTCTTTTCTGTCTTACTTTCTTTCCTTGTGTTTCTTATTATTCCTTTTTAAAACCAACATTTCACACTCACTTTACGCACTTTCTCTCGCATCCATAACTATGTTACTAGTACATACACAAATAGGAGATCTCCCAGATAGGCGTTAGCCTTTGGGTAATCCTGAAATAAAGATTATTATATTATATTACAAGCAAGGCCGGTCCTGGAAGCTCGAGGTGGAGTGCTCAATGTACGAATGTACAGAGCAGTATACACACACAACAGAGGCGAAAGGCTGTGTTAGCTGTAACTTAAAGTTTCACGCATCGGAGCGATCATCAGACAGCAGCATTCACGAATGCTGCTGTCTGATGATCGCTCCGATGCGTGAAACTTTAAGTTACAGCTAACACAGCCTTTCGCCTCTGTTGTGTGTGTTATATTATTATTATAAACTTCAATTGTAGTTCGCCAGCTGACTACTTTCAGACTCCATGTAGGTCCGAGTACATCTGGCTTAAAAGTTGAAAACAACGGCGCACGCACATAAGCAACGGCCACCTTACCTGTGCTGTAGCAGTACTTCCGAGTTCCCGTATGGGAGTTCCCTCAATGTGTGTGCAATAGCAGCCTCATCGGACCAGTTCAATGCGACGCGGACAGTCCGACACTGAGGAGGACATTGAAGAAGTCAGAGACAGGAAGAATGGTTGATTTACAACTCAACTAGCAAGGCTGCACACCCACGAAGTTCCACTCACCATTGTGCCGTCCTTCTTGGAATGCAGAAATAACGCTTCTTCTCGAGAACGCAGCCTGTGACAGAGAAAAAGGAAGGAGCATCGCCATCGGCATTGGTCCTCTGCTATCACCGATTGCCGAGTTGCACAGTTCACTCTAACAAGACTGAGGACGTTGAAGAACTCCCCATCCATACCATCATTGGAGTAAGAGGAAATGTCAGACAAGTTGCCTAGTTCCACCCAGCATTCCTGGATGCCAGGATGTGCTGCCCCCCGCCCCTCTCTTCTACTGCCAGCAGCCTGGAAAGGGCAACATATGTGACAGCGTTCACCAGTGCAGTCGGAGGAGAACATAGGAGAAGGCAAAAAAGGGCAACACACATGAACCCCTTATAAACAAGCAGTGGCAACTCTAGCACCAGTGATGTTGGACTTACGTGTACATCCCAGCCATTGCCGCCGGATTCAGCGGCTTCTTCTTCTTCGTCTCCCATCTTGGAAGCACTCCTTCCCGTAAGTTCAGTCCTGGGAGTACAGTTGAAGGAGGACGTCGGAAAAGGCAAAAAGGCAACACATAGGATTCCCTTATAAGCAAGCAGTGGCAACTCTAGCACCAGCAATGTTGGACTTACATCCCAGCCATTGCCGCCGGATTCCCACGCTTCTTCTTCGTCGTCTTCCAGTTCTTAGGTTCCATCTTGCAAATGCTCCTTCCCGTAAGTGCAGTCCCGGCCTGGCCGGGAGCTGGGTGGATGCGCAGTATAGTACATTGACGATGGCGGAGATGGAGCAGGTCAGGGAGCTGGCTAGGGGTCCGAGAGCAGATTGCGGCCAAATTCGGGACGATCCCGGACGCCAGTCAGTATGAAGTAGCGAATTGCGGACTGCCACGTAGATTGGGGTCGCGGGGTCATAATCCATGGGCACTACTCGTACGTTGCTCCAAAAAGGGCGCTGCACTGTTCCACAGTTGCTGTTAGCGATCGCCAAAGGCACTTGGTAGGCCGGTAATTGGGTCACGTGTCAACAAAGTGTCAACAACGTGTCGACCACGTGTCTTTAGCGGTACACTAATTTTGGTGTCCCCAAACTAAAAACATCGAGCACCAGTATGGAAAGGCTTTAGACAGAAAGCCTTTCCAATAAAGTTGTTTTTCTGAACGTTCGGGGTACTATACCTCAACCAAAAACGAAATTTAGTACATGTACGTAACAAGCCTGCTGGTGGAGTGATCATACGAAACTCGGATTTCGTGAACGAAATTAAAATTTTGTACTTTATATACAGACTCAGTACGCCTTGCTTGCATGGCATGCTACTAGTATAGTACTTCTGTACTACCAAAAGTAGAACCCCCCTTTTTTTGATGTTGTGTTGTTGTCGTTGGTGGTCAGTGGTGTTGTTGTTGTCGTTGGTGGTGGTGGTGTTGTTTTTGACGTTGGTGCCAACTTGGTGGTGGTGTTGTTGTTGACGTTGGTGGTGTTGTTGTTGTTGACGTTGGTGGTGGTGTTGTTGTTGTTGACGTTGTGGTGGTGGTGGTGTTGTTTTTGACGTTGGTGGTGGTGTTGTTGTTGACGTTGGGGGTGGTGGTGTTGTTGACGTTGTCGTGTTGCCACCGCTGTAGGATCCATGTCTGTCAATGATTTTTAGTTATTGTGTTTTGATATAGAAAAGAAAAGATTTTTTGGTTGGAGGAAAGCAAATCAGCACACGAAGCACAGAAGCCATAATATATTATAACTTCGACTTGGCCTTTCGTACCATTACTCTTCAAGTCGAATACAATGGTGATTAACAAGGAAGCAAGCAAGTCCTTACATGTATACCGGTAACCGGCACTTTGGCGGTCAGAGCATTGACAACAATAGCACTTGAAAAATAGCGCTAGTGGCGCCAACAACATACATGTATTTGGCGGTCAGAGCATTGCATTCGACTTGAAGAGTAATGGTACGAGAGGCCTAGTCGAAATTACAGTAAAACCTGTCAAGGCGACCACTCGAATAAGGCGACCACCTGTCCTTGAAGACCACTGAAAGCAAGATCAAGGGGTGCTGTTTTCAGTCAAATAACCCTGGATAAGGAGACCACCTGGTAACAGAGACCACGTTGTGAAGGTCCCTTGAGCGGTCGTCTTAGACAAGTTTCACTGTATACATGTATGGCTTCTGTGCTTCGTGTGCTGATTTAGAAAAGAAAAAGCACCGAAGAACTACAAGTTACGCTATAATAATTCTCAGAACATAATGTCTTCCCTCTCATCCTCAACACTACACTACAGAGGAAATCATGATTGGAGCTGCATATTACAGCAACGCAGCACGAATTTTCAAAACTGAGAGTAAAAGTGTATTCGAATGTTACTGCCTGCTTTCGAATATTCTTTCTGGTGTCAATATTCTAGAATACTCCGAATACTGATGTGAATATTCTTTTGCGTCACTTTGCATCTGATCTAGTGATGAGAAGCATGTGCATGTACATGTACATGTCGGTTTTACACGAGCTGCAAGCCCAACGGCGTGAAACGTCCTGTCAACTACAGTGAAACTTGTCTAAGACGACCGCTCAAGGGACCTTCACAACGTGATCTCTGTTACCAGGTAGGCCTTGGCGGATAATGCTCGAAAAGGTGGCAGATTCTGCTTTTTTGCACCGAAATTGGCAGAACCATACAAACCTTATGGCGGGCAATTCCTCGAATTCTGCTCCATTTCTTTATCCACATACCAAACATGCATGAAACTTACCAGAAAAAGTACCGAATTCTGCCAATTTTTCTGCCGGCATTATCCGCCAAGGCCTATTACCAGGTGGTCTCCTTATCCAGGGTTATTTGACTGAAAACAGCACCCTTGATCTTGCTTTCAGTGGTCTTCAAGGACAGGTGGTCGCCTAATTCGAGTGGTCGCCTTGACAGGTTTTACTGTACTGTCTTATGCACGCACACCAGGTAGCCTCTACAACGTACTCAGCTCAGAGTTTCCCAAACATTGGTCACCTACAGTGAAACCTGTCTAAGACGACCGCTCAAGGGACCTTCACAACGTGGTCTCTGTTACCAGGTGGTCTCCTTATCCAGGGTGGTTTGACTAGAAATAGCATCCCCTGATTCTGGTTGCAGTGGTCGTGTAGGACAGGTGGTCGCCTTGGCAGGTTTCATTGTACAAGTATAAGTATTAGGTAAGTAAGTTAGTTGGTACGTTCGCGCCTGGTTTAAATCTGGCTCTGGAAAAATTATTTTTCATTGCTATCAGGTTCGGCCTCATTTCCTCTGTGCTGCGCTGATGAGTCCACAACGGACGAAACGGTTCTGTCCGCAGATTAAGTATAAGTTTCACATGTATCCAGTGAACATGTAAGCCAATAGTAGCACGCACGGGATACTGTAAAATATACAAATTTTCGGCAGCTATTTAATTTCGGCTATATTCGGCACCGACCCAAAACGCCTAAATTAAAACGCCGATGAAATTTTTCACAGCATCTGTCGCACTATAGTCTATACCATGCCCTCCACCCCACGCCGAAAATAAATCGCCGCCGAAATGTCAAAAATCGTGAAGTGCCGAAATTTTGCAGCGCCGAAATTTTTGTATATTTACAGTATCCGCCACTACTACACCTATCAAGGGGAGCATCACACATGTGGCTGTGGCGCACAAAAGAAAATTAATGTGATCACATTCGAATCCAGGCGGACGGTCAGGATTGTACAGAGACCATCCAGACAGTTCGCAGCGACACGCACCATTTTTGCGATCCTCAACACACGGCGTTGAGCTCAAACTCTTTCAGGCACGCACACACACACCACACACACACACACTTTTCTACACATACAGACGTATGTACACACCCCGACACACACACACACCAGGTACCACGTATACGCCCGTTGCAAACGAAGCACACAAATCTGCAAATGCATCGGATGTGCACCCACAGATTTTCTAACATACCAACGAAAGCGAACAAGATCGGAATGAAGCAGATCGAGACTAGCGACAGATAACTGAGCAATCCACGCAACCTGCGAAGCCATGTGTATCGACCCCCAATGCACACCTGGTCTACACCACACGAAGTACATTGGACTGATATGATAGGACGGCCAAGATAGTTGTTACCTATGCACACCCTACACTTGCTGGGATAACCAGTATAGAAAGCACGCTGCTTTGATAGAAGCAGACACCAGATGCACTGGTACCTTGAGGACACACACACACACACATACGTGCGTATACACACGCGCACGCATGCCCACGCGCGCGCACACACCTGGTCCTGGTACACACATACACACACACGCGCGCGCGCACACACCTGGTCCTGGTACACACACACGCACACACACACACACACACACACACACACACACACACACACACACACACACACACACACACACACACACTATAAAGCTGGACAACTATGCAAGCCACCCGTGACAACAATACACAGGGCTGTTACATGAGATTATGTTGATTGTGTTCCCATGCAATTCCGTTTTTGCTTTGGTGTAGCCCTGAGGTTGATTGCTTATTTATTTCTACCCTTCCTCTCTCCATACTTCTGTCCCCCCCCCCCCTCTCTCTCTCTCATTCCTTCTGTCGTCCACATGTATCAAAGGAGGCGAAATCGCCTGTTTGTGGTGCGACGTTAAATAAACTTCTACTACTACTACTACATGAACACACTGGTATGATAGCACATAGGATATGTTGATTGTGTTTCCATGCAATGAACATACTGGTATGACAGCACATAGGATGAAGGCATATACCGTAAAGTACCGCCAGAGCGCCCCACCATCTCATCCTTTCGTGGTCGTATTGTGGAGGTGGTCTGCTGTCTGTAGGTCATACGACATGAACCTTGTACACATATTGCACGTTTTTCAGTCAATCCGTACCTTCAAGAGGACACAAGCTCCACACAAAAACCTGCCAAGTGTGACCTTAGCACACTAAGATTCTCACATCGTACACACTTCGTTGCACTCTGCCATACGATTTTCCTTTCTCTGGCTGTAAAATCAAGGTGGGGCGCTCTCGCGAGACGGGGCGCTCTGGCGGTACTTTACGGTACTAACAGAACTCAGCAATCATAGTTCAAGTAACAAACATCAGCAAGGATAAAAAAACTAAGGTGATAAAAAGAAGAAAAAAAGTAGTTCAAGTTCGCAAGTCCCCATTACAATCGGCTATTCAATTATGTTCAGAAACACATCACGCTTTGGACTGTTCAGTTCGTCCCAGGGCACAACATTGACGGAGATAGGACTAAGAAGTGCGGTGTGGAAAATCGGAGCACATGAAAACCTAACAGCGGTGTGAGTACTTCATGCACTCACTACACTTGAGGATTGCTGAAATTTCTTACAAACTAGCTAGGAGGATATCTTCCTTTTGCCCAGCGGAGAGGGCTCAACACAAGAAACGCACACGCATACACATAACTGAGTGCTTAGGTTCATGACTTCCATCACAATCCGAATGTTGTTTCGAGGACTGACTGACGGCACTGCAATTGACCAAACCAAGCAACCGGGATTATAGAACTCAGTAAGAAGAAAAACCCAAAGAGTAAAAATCATGTAAAAATCATGATTATGACTACTCATATCAAGAAGCATCTACGCGCTTTGCTGCGTGCACGTTGGACATGTAATGCCACCGCTGTTAGGTGTTCACAGCGAAGTCATCTACGGACGAAAAGGCAACGAGGTGCGTAAGTGGAACACATGTTGCAAGCGGATCACCGTTGATAGAAGTCGGCGCAACAAAAGCTGACACTGTACATAACAGCACGCAAGCAAAGTGGCATACAGTCAACTTTGCGTATAACGACTGCGGATATAACGACAATTCGCGAATAACGACAGAATTTCCATGCCCAGAGCAAAGTCCCATCTAACTGCAATACATATAATGAGACTTCGGGTATAACGACACTTCGCGAATAAGGACACTTTTCTGATGCCCCGCCGAGTGATGTTATAAGCGAAGTTGACTGTTCTGTAAGTCTATACATTTCTGGCGGCTTCAAATTTCGGCTTCCCAGGGCTGAAGCACATTTCGACTGGCTTCAAATTTTGGCCTGTACTGCTGCTGCCTGTCTACACTGTCACAAAGCAAAACAAAATTTCCGCCACAAGAAATTTTCGGCCAAACAATGCCCTCCAGGCCGAAAATAGCCCAAAATACATGCGCACCGAATATTTGTTGACGTACAGTAGGACTCCAGTCAACTTTGCACATAACAACATTCGGTGGGGCATCAGAAAATTGCCCTTATTCGCGAAGTGTACTTATACCCGAAGTCTCATTATACGTATTACAGACACCGTACTCACTTGATTAGAAGCCCCTCTTGAATAATAGCCTCCCCCCCCCCCCCACCTACAATGACTGTTTGAAAAAATACAAGCCCCTCTCGAATAGAAGCCCGGACTACTATTCGCAAAGCATGGGGTGACCAGGTAGTGCCATGTATGAAGGTCAAGTGTGCAAAAAACACCTTGTGCATGTTCATATTGGTACATGTCCTGGTCGACGTAGCGTGTGCAAACTAACTCGGGGCCGAGTTGCTGTGAATATGAAAGTTTTAGAGATTTGATTGCAATACTGGTATGGAATGAACAATAAAAGCCCCTCTCGAATAGAAGCCCCTCTTGAATAGAAGCCCCTCTTGAATAGAAGCCTCCTCAAAATTGGTATTGAAAAAATAGAAGCCCCTGGCTCTGGGCATGGAAGTTCCGTCGTTATCCGCGAATTGTCGTTCTAACCGCAGTGGTTAAAAGTAGTTTATTAGCGAAGTTGACTGTACCATAATCAAAGCAGGGTTGCTACGGCGACGGTTATAGACGATTCAAACTACGGCCAACTGTGATCACGTTTCTACGACTCAGTCGTTTTTGATCAGCGATCGTGCATAAATATTTGAAACATGACTGCACCACCATGGAAATTCAAGTTCAGACGTGATTTTGGCCGTAGTCTGAATCGCCTACTAGACACATGTGTGTGCTGCGCAATGCGGTATGCTTAGGCACCAGGCACTCCGGTGTATCAGTAAAGAGAGGGATAGCTCGCGTACGCACACAACTACTGCACGTGATTACGTGTTCGGATTCGCTGCTCTGGAGGTATGTGACTGGACACACACACAGGTGCGCCTCTAGCTCACCGCAAAGGTCGGTACGTCACTACTGTGTGTGTGTGTGTGTGTGCTGGCGTACGTGTGTGTGTGTGTGTGCTGGCGTACGTGTGTGTGTGTACGTACGCGCGTACGTGCAGGTGCGATCGAGTGCCTGCGTGGGAAGATACGTATAAGCAACATCAACGCAACCATGCGGGGTTTTTCATGTATGGACTTTTTGCCTGATGTTCGTTGCGTGTTATTTCGATCAGGATGCGTAGTTGCGTATTTGCCCACTAGCACATGTACAGAGTGCACTAACCATGTCAGCATAGCTGATTATCTTTGTCCGTTTCGGTTGCTCTTGCCGTCCGCCGTCCCAGCAAACTCTCAGTCTCAGATTCGCCATTGCCGCCTTCCGCCACCGTTGATGCTGAGTCGGAATTAGCATCCAACTGCCATGTAAGGTTGTCTCGTTTCCCCTCCACGCTACGTGTCGTAACGCCGACGTGAGCCATGGCGGAGGCCCCAGCCTGCTGGTCATCCGAAACGTCCACACTCTCCGACTCCCCCTGGATGTCGGCCTTCTTCGCCTGCGGCAGTTTCCAGAGGATGGAGACTGCAGCCGCGAAAATGGTGACTCCACACCCCTCCACCACCGACACACCGATAGCAGTCATGTCTATGCGCTCCGCCAGGCGAACGGCCATGCGAAAGCAGCCCGCGAAAACTATCCCAGCGCAAAGAAGCAGGGCGTACGGGCGAGTGGCCGGATTCACCACCAAGCCCTTGAGCCCTGCAGCCGCGTGGCCACCCGCACCAGCACCAAGAGCTTTCAGGGCCTTGTCCATTGCAGTGATAGGCCGCGACGCGTGTCCACACAAATAATTGGCACACCAGAGATTTTAGCCTCCCAGCGTGCGCTGCTTCATACAGCGACTCTGTAGGATTTTCCTGATCGCGCGAAGCTAAGATAACACTAAAATAATTTAATTGTTATGATTTCCTTCACGCCAAGTTCATCCAGGGCTCCCCAGTGAGCCAGGCCTGGAGAGTGGAGCCCTCTTTCTCTCAGTTGAAGGACAGGTAACTGGTTATGTTATACTTACAGCTTCATCCTGTAAAACCATGCAAACGAAAGTACAAGAATGCAATAATAACAATAATTGTTGCGCTAGAGAAAATCAATGTTTATTCGCCTCATGATCGTGCACGCGCACTTGCACATGCGCCTATGCGCGCGGCATGCATGACCTGTACTACTGTACTACAAGTCAATATTAATTATTTTTATTATGCACAGCGCGCGCGCAGCTAGCTGCGATTTCATTCGTATGAGCCAGGGAGTCGTAAAAGCCCGGGAGAGGACACGGGATGCGCGCACGCGGACGATGTTTGCCTCGGCCAGAAAGTGAAGCACGCTAGGCCGGCGCGGCCGGATCTGCTCGATCCACGGCGCTGTGCTTGTCTTCAGGGTAGGGAGTCCTAAAATACCAATATTTTACAACTCGTTGTTGACACCATCATCCGAAACTGGTGGCGAAGGAAGGATAAACATGATTGTATGTCTGTCAGACTCAGTACAGGGGTGGGGAGTTGAGTGTGTGTGTGTGGGGGGGGGGGGGGGGGGGGAGAGGCGTGTGTATGTGCACATGTGCTTGTACTTTTGTGTGTGTTTGTACAGTGTTTGTGTGTGTGCTTGTGTGTGTGCGCGCGAACGTGTGTGTGCATTTTTGTGCACAATTCCGTTATGAAGTACAAATGGTAGGTTTACCTTTTGTACACTCGCCAAGACTTCCGTTTCCTAAACGGCTCAAGTCACCGCGTACTCAGTATAGGAGTAGAAAAGTGTTGAAATTATCAAGATTTATAAAATAATAACGACCTGCAACCATGTACAATGTAGATAGATAGGGAACACACATTGATTGTTTTTAAAAGAATCCAGGCATTATCATGAATCATGGAACGAGTGCGTAATAATGCTCTATGTTGCGTTTTGACGATGCTGAAGGAAGGGAGCCGTCGCGATTTACTCACAACACACGCACAGAAGTCCACTCGACTGCAATTTCAGTGCAATTTCTGACACAAATTCATAAATCCACGAGTACGCCGAGGAAGCTCAGTGGATCTCCACAAGAACTTTCGCCCATCACCTGCAATGGAATATGGGCTGTATGATACGACCAGTGGTTAACACGGGAAGTGGCGTCATTTTCCACAAATCTCGTTTCATTCACAACCATTTGACTGCAATTCAGTGCAATTTCTGCCGCAAATTCAACTCCACGAGTACGAGGAAGCTCAGCGGATCTCAACACGAACGTTCGCCCATCACCTGCAATGGAATATGGGCTGTATGATACGACCAGCGGCTAACACGGGAAGTGGCGTCATTTTCCACAAATCTCGTTTCATTCACAACCATTTGACTGCAATTCAGTGCAATTTCTGCCGCAAATTCAACTCCACGAGTACGAGGAAGCTCAGCGGATCTCAACACGAACGTTCGCCCATCACCTGCAATGGAATATGGGCTGTATGCTACGACCAGCGGCTAACACGGGAAGTGGCGTCATTTTCCACAAATCTCGTTTCATTCACAACCATTTGACTGCAATTCAGTGCAATTTCTGCCACAAATTCAACTCCACGAGTACGAGGAAACTCAGCGGATCTCAACACGAACGTTGGCCCATCACCTGCAATGGAATATGGGCTGTATGATACGACCAGCGGCTAACACGGGAAGTGGCGTCATTTTCCACAAATCTCATTTCGTTCACCCCAACTCAAATAAAAGTGAAGTACAATTAGGGATTTGTCTTGCATTTCCATCGCCTCAGAATAAATTAACTTCGATAAACTGAGAGAGAATGAGTGAGGCAGCTGGAAGAATTGAGGATGAAAATAGAGATCAGAAGACTCGACGGAGCAATCGTCTCCGTGCTCTAAGAGAAATCGGAGAATGTCCCAATTAGTATTTCAAGAAGACATCACAATTTTCGAAAATAATAATTATTTCCTTGCCTCGCAACACCGTTCCCTGGCAGCGTTCCCCGGCAGCGCGAGGCAAAGATGTTTTCTGGGAATGTGTGCCGTGTCCTCTCCCGGGCTTTTACGACTCCCTGGTATGAGCTGACGTCAATGCACATGCATGGCGCGCGCGCGCCGCGCGGCGCGGCGGAGGGCAAACCTGCACGAGTAGAGATTCTGGCCTGGCCTGAGCTGATACAGTCAGTGACTGTGTAGATCTACTGCTATCAATATCATGAGTCATCGCACCACCTCTTTTACGGGCAAACAGACAGTGCACTACTAGTGGTATGGCGAATGATTAGAACACAACACCAAAAAATGAAAACAATAATTATTGTATGTGTCATGAGTCATCGCAAGTGAACAATGCTTCGGGATTTACCCGGCATCAGCAGTTTTCTCTCCCCAGCGGCCCCACCCACATCATGTGCGAGTACGAGTCAACACTCATTTTCTTGCACGGTTTTCAGACTCAGTAGCTGCCACTGATGTCGTTGCCACTCTGATCTCGGACACGACGGTGAGTAGGCATATGCGGATAATGCCGGCAGAAAAATTGGCAGAATTCGGTACTTTTTCTGGTAAGTTTCATGCATGTTTGGTATGTGGATAAAGAAATGGAGCAGAATTCGAGGAATTGCCCGCCATAACTTGCATAAGGTTTGTATGGTTCTGCCAATTTCACTGCTTTTCGAGCAGAATCTGCCTCCTTTTCGAGCATTATCCGCACACCCCTAACGGTGAGAGTGAAGCTCAGTTCTCATTTTGGTAAAGCATTTGCCACAAATATCGGAGCACCGGTAGTGCAGGGGGATCCGCTCTCTCCCATCATGCATTGAATCCCTTCTTTACCGCAGGCAGTTTATAAGCTTAGTTGCTATGGCGCACACATTTATTTTCAGGTATTGACGTTGCCTAGCTTCATTCCCTTTATTATTATTAATATTATTAATATTATTAAATTTTGAATAGGGATATTTCAATATCACGCAGAGTGCGAGACGCCCAAACAAAATTATTCTCCTTAAAGCAAAGACCACATCAAAATCGTTGTTTCTCTTCCAACCCTCCCTCTTACGGAACTGCCTCCCACCAAGACCAACTGCAGAACCATCCATTGTTGTTTTCAAGAATGAGCTTCGCAAACTCACTTGCAAACACACCGTAGAATCCCGTGGATAAGCCCACCCGCGTATAAGCCCATGCTCGCGCATAAGGCCAGGGAAAGTTCGAACAATTTTGGTCTCGCGAATCCAAATAAAATCAATCAACATCACAAGGCTTCGTCGTACAAGCCTTTGGGCCTAAAGGCCGATTCACAATACAGCTTTCTGCGACGCGACACGCGATTTGCGACAGTTGCGACAAGAAACTGCCTGTCGCGAGCTGTCGCAAGCTGTCGCAATGCACCTGTCGCAGAAGTTGAAGAAAGTTCAACTTTTGCGACATGCGACACGCGACATGCACAAATGGACACGGCTGTTTTTTTTCGCGATTTTCGCTCACCTAAAATGGCGTCGCTGAAGGGGAAAAAATCTTGATTTTCATTAATTGACTTGAGGAAATTGGATGCGTATCTCAATGGATTCGCCTAGAACATGCTCCATTCACTCCGGTTTCGACTAGGCCTTGACGGATTATGCTAGCATAGTTTTTCGCATAATTCCTACCAAAATCAAAACGTTTTGTTCATTTAACTTTAATATGGTGTTATGGGGTTATTCTAACTGGTTTTTCCTCAGGGTTGTGCCTCCGCCGGGGTCCTGAGGTTTTTCCGCCAGCTTCGGGCTGGTTAATTATCCGGTGGCCCCATTCACCATAGTGGTTCACTTTTTGCATCATGTTGGTCTGGTACGTACGTGTAGATGTATTATGTGTGAGGTGGCATGCCCTTCTTCTTGCTCATGTATACACTACGCTAAGCTCTTCCATCTTCCACCGTGAGTGAACAAAGACCACACTACTACTACTACTGTGACCTGTATCTTTCTGTTGTGTGTGCGTGTGTCTGCGGTGTACGCAGAGGCCAGCTAGCTGGCAGAAATGTAAGAAACTCTACAAAACATAATCAAAACACACTGAGGGAGAACATGTGTGTGTGTGTGTGTTTTTTTGCGTGTGTGTGTGTGTGTGTGTGTGTGTTTTTGTGGGGGGTGGGGGGGGGAGGGGGAGGGGGGCATGTGTAATGGGAAAGAGTCACAGCGAAAAGACCCAGAGACGGAGGGAAGTGTGTTATCACAGTTGTATTCGTCAATTATCTCTTTGTCAAACCGTTCCCGAATCATTCAGGTACCCAGAGATCTCCCCCAATGCAAGTACAGTAAACCCTGTCAAGGCGACCACTCGGACAAGTCGACCATCTGTCCTAGAAGACCATTGAAACCAGGACCGAGGGATGCTATTCCCAGTCAAATGACCCTGGATAAGGAGACCACCTGGTAACAGAGACCACCTTGTGAAGGTCCCTTGAGCGGTCGTCTTAGACAGGTTTCACTGTATCAAGTTGACCGAACGTCACTCACTCCCGCCTCTCCAATTTGTGGCCGGCCGCCTTCAGGTCCTGGTCTGTAACGGCCGCGTAGCGGAACCGGGTTACTGGACGAACGCCAGGCAAGCTGCCTCGCAAAGCTGCCACGCCGTTCTCCTCTTGCTCATTGCCCTTCGGTTCTGAAACTGAGCCCTGCTGTCTACCTCGCAGTATCGTCGATAAGAATCGCACTGGTGCCAAGACCCACAGCAGAATACCGGCTACCAGTGCCAGCAGACGTCGGCGCAGTCCACGCAACCTGTTCATCATCTCCATGGAGAGCCTTGAGCTAGCGCAACGAACCCAATGAATGCGGTTCGCTCACCCTCTGCTATTGGAGTGCTAGTATTGCTCCACAGCCTCAGGTGTGGTTCTGCCAGTCGTCCAGGCCAAACGCGAGCCCAAGCAATTGGAAACGTTTGTCTAGAGACACTGGCACAACAGTTAGCTGCTGATAGGAACAACGAACAGTAGATAAGTGACAGTCGACACGTACTTGTACACGTATCTGCGATTGAAAAGCCTCGAAGAAACTCTACTTCAAGTATACGGTCGTTTCGTGTGGCAGGAGGC